GTTATCACCTTTAAAGCCCTACATGGCATGGGACCAGGTTACCTAAGGGACTGCCTCTCCCCTATGTCTTCAACCCATCCCACCCGTTCACACAGAGAGGGCATGCTTCGGACCCCCTCAGTAGAAGAACTCCGTCTAGTGGGGTCCAGGAGGCGGGCCTTCTCTGCGGTAGCCCCTGCTCTTTGGAACATCCTGCCCCCAGAGGTGCGATTGGCCCCCCATTCCTGGCCTTCCAAAGGGCCTTGAAGACCTGGTTCTGCCACTTGGCCTGGGGTGGGGAGGGAATACTTCAAGCAGGGGGATGGCTAGCCCTGTAGTGGCCACCTCTCCGCAGCCTGATTTTCCATCTTCTTGGATCTTCCTTTCTTTAGTACTGTTTTAAATTTTGGATGTTTTATGTGTTTTAGATGTATTTATAGTTTTAATGTTTTTTGTAAGTCGCCCAGAGTCCCCTATTGTGGGGGAGATGGGCGGCGGGGAAATCCAGTTAAATAAATAAATATGTTTTTTGTAAGTCGCCCAGAGTCCCCTATTGTGGGGGAGATGGGCGGCGGAGAAATCCAGTTAAATAAATAAATAAATAAATAAATAAATGCCCAAATTGTGCATGCATATCCAGAATAGTTTCTTTGCTCTGGCTGGCAAACATATTGCAAATGTTGTAACTATTAGGAGGGAGGGAAGAGAAGCAGTTCATGCTCCACAACTGAAGTTAAGGCTCATACATTAGTTAAGTTATATATCCTCAGCCCGAAGAAGCCCCACTAGCTTCTGTTTCTGGAGCTCCATAATTCTTTCACAGTATTGCTTGGGTCCAAGTTCAAATATTATCTGGCTGATCCACTATCTGTAGAGTGAGGATGGCTCTCAGGATTATGAACATCACTGTTTCTGGGCAAAAGATTTTTCACAACAAAAAACTGAGGGAGAGAACAGGACTCAACTTCCAGACAGCCAATGGATTGCTTTGGGGACAATCAGATATCTGGTTTTGCGGGGACTTTGCTCAGCTGTTGCTGGCATTGCAGTTGCAGCCTTACCAGGACAAGAGGAATTCACAACAGTGACTGGTGTCCTCCTCACCACTTGCTTGGACTACTGTAATGCATTTTACATTGGGCTGCCTTTGAAGACCACGTGGAAGCTTGCATTGGCCTGGCTGTTGGTGAGTAGTTGTCATACATGAGCACATTATACCTGTGCTCTGACCCCTGCACTCTGACCCCTGCACTGGCTTCCAGTTACCTTCCTTGTGCAATTCAAAGGGCTGGTTTGACCTTTAAAAACATAGGTAGCTTGGCATAGAAGGACCATGTCCTCTGCTCTGTTTCAACCCACTTGGTACGGAGTTCCCCAAACATCTATTAATTGTCCCTCTTTTCTAGTTGATTAGAGGGATGGAGGTCTGTCAATGTTCTTTTTCTGTGGTGGTGTCAGTGCTCTGGAAGTTCCTGCCCCTTGAAATCTGATCTGTTCCTACGTTGTCACTTCAGGAAAATATTGAATATAGATCTGTTGAAGAGGGCCTTTGAGTTATACTGTAGGTACATAGCACAGTCTACTTTATTGCTTTTTAAAAGGTTGTTCTATATTTTTATGCATGCTTCCATTGGTACTTATTGTTACAGAAAATTATTTATAGTCTGGCCATTTCATTGTTGCAACCTGATGAGTTTCTTGATTGTGTTGGGTAAAAAAATGGAATAAAGACAGACATCTCTGCTTGAGATGGTCTAAGGAAGTATTTCTCAACCTTGGCAACTTTAAGATGGGTAGACATCAACTCCCAGAATTCTGGGAGTTGTAGTCCACAAATACTAAAGTTGCCGAGGTTGAGAAACACTGGTCTAAGGTAACTTCAGCTGTGGAGGATCTTGATGGGAAAGTAATTTCACACACTGAGAAGAAGTCTAGCTGTGTTTACAAAAATGATCAACAAATGCAGACACCTGCTAACCATCTCAAAAGCATCAAGACCTTTTCCTTTTACACTGAAGAAGCACAAGGGTACAGAGTACCATCTTGCTGCCTTTCCTTGCCTATATGTAATTTTCTCCTCTAAAAGCAGAGGTCTTACTCCAATTCTGTGGTAACCTTAGCCTTCCTTCTAATAAATAGTATTAACTGGAGCCCTGAAAGGTTTATTCTTTGGAGTAACTGCTTCCAATTATATTGCTAGGAGGAAATCTGCTGCTTAGGATACACAGAAGGATATCTGAGGAAAGAAACAGTGCGCAGGGCAGAATGGAGAAGTGAAGTGAGATGCAGAGCCAAAGAAACATAACATTATGGAAGGTTAAGAAAATTGAACTGAGGGATCAGCCAATGGGTAGTTGGTGATGACATGCCTGATGTAAGGAGGGTTCATCTGTTTGGCTTCTTTCACCTTTTTGTGTTTAATGTTCTACATCAAACACAACAGAGAAAACAAAACAGGGCAAGGATCGGAAAGGGAAAATAAAACACTTTCTGGCCAGTATCTCAGGTGGTTTGGGTTGAAGCCAAGCTATAGCAGGTTTTTGCAAACTATCAGCTGTCTCATGGCATAACATCCAACCAAAAGCAATGGTCAACATTTCCAAACAGTCAATAATATATCTTAGTCCAGTCTAGAGGTACAACTGCCCATCTATTTTGCTTTCCTAAACAAATCTCAGTTGCTTCTTTCCACTTGCTGTTTTATTTCTTTAATATAGTGATATACCTCTTTCTCTTTTAAAAAATCTGAAAGCAGGATGCCTGACCTAGACTGCCTTGGATGGATGGCATTCTGTCCATTTTTAAATGTTTGTTTGTTTATGTTTTGATTGGATGCTTTTGTTGGATGAGATGCAGCTTTGTGTGATGTCCAGCTTTGCTTCTTTTGAATACAAGCTGGCATAATTTTATCTTGATCCCTTTGCCAGATCTATAGAGTCCTATATGGCTTGGCACCCAGGTACATGCAGGACTGAGAGGGAGGGGTATCAAAATCTGCAAGATGGTGAACACAATGCCACGGTTTCAGCTCCATCCTTTTTGTATGTGTGCACACACTACAAGAAGGGCAGAGTTTGGATAGCAAT